TTGGTCATATACATTTCTATGAATAAAATCACTCTATAAAGCTGAAATTTTTCTTTCTAAAAACAGATGTTGTGATAAACAATTTCAACTTAATATAAAAAACTTAAGTAAAAAAATTCAGACTGCTTAAATTAAAAACATAAGATAGTAAAGATTTGTTGATTTTAAAACTATTATTTATACAAGATATATAGCCTGAATTCTATTCCAGCTTCTTTGCCCTAAAGTACACAATTTTCTTGACTATATGACTTGTGATTATTTAATCAACTGAGCAACCAAATAATAATATTAAAATTTTACTAAAACTAGAAACATACAAAACTGAATCCTTAAGAACAGCTGTAAATAAAACTGATCATTTAGTAATTATGGGATGGGCAATTTTCTAAACCTTTCCAGTCTGTTTCTTCATCTGTAAATTGTAGATGATAACTGTTTCTACTTTCTGGGCTTGTTAGAAGAATTAAATGAGATAATATTATGAGGACATACTTAACATGATTCCTGGCTAATAAGCCCTCAAAATCTTACGGGCTAAAGTCCTAGGTAACAATGCTACATCAAGAAATAATCTCTCCTAATTTTATCACTTTAGGAATAGAAAGAAATAGACCTTAAAACATAATGCAATCTGACAAAACTCAATTCATCAAAATTGACTCCAGAGTTATGTCAAAATAAAATTACACACAATACCTAAAATCACTTTTATGACTTAACTTAGTTGGGCATTCTGAGCATACAAAATACCCTTTAAAATTACAATGATGGCCTTAAGAGACATGGTTTTTTAAACTGCTTTTAAATCAACTACAAACACCAAAATTCCACTCCAGTTATTTTTTTAAATACAAATTCTTTTAAAAAATCAAACATCTTAGATGACATTACCTATTTTTTACTACCAATATAGTTAATTTACTTACAGTCCTTTGTAGGGACATGTGTAAATAAAATCAGTCATTCAAACACCAAATACATACATATAAGGTCAGGATTTCTAATGTAAAAGTATTATTTTCATACTAGGAAAACATAGCCAAGAAACAGGTATCATTTTTCTAAAAAAAGAGGGAAAAGCATCTTGAACTCAGATAATTGAAAGAGTCACAAATAGTGTCAGCATTAGTAATACCTAGCTTCAAGACCAGAGCTTACACATTTCTTAAAGCAACATAATCTAATAAAAAACTTGCATCAGGGAATCCCTTATTCTCCCACTGACTCAGTACAAGCATTTCATCAAAAAATGGAAATCATGCTGGTCACTTCTCTCACAGGGATATGAGAATATTTTATAAATGGACTCAGGTCACCTTGAAAAAGGACCAATTTTAGAATTTAAGGAATTATTATAAATGACAACTGCTACAAACAAGGAAAACTTTGCTTAAAAAGCACAATTTGAAATAATTTTAAAGGGTATACAAGACCATAAATTACCACCGAAGGCAACTTAATATGTGCAGAATATTCAAATAAGCATCTAAAACTAAATAGTTAATTATCAGGCTTCTAAAAAGATTCCTAGTCAGTAATTTTCTATTCATTTTATGGCAAATAAATGTGATAAACAGTATTAAAGTTAGTTTCCTAAAAGGAATTTGTATTTACCTCAGATGTCCTAATCACTTCACATAAAACTGAAATCTTAATCTAAAATTATAGAATTACTTACAAAGTATGCTTTTCCTAATAAGCAATAGGAAGGAAAGTTAATGAAATTATATAAAACTCAAATCTTAGTTTTTATTTACTCTTATAGTATTAATCCATCTTATTTTGAGAAAGTAAAAATACCACATTAGGGTACATCAAAAATCAACAGATAGGTTCAAATGTTTGTTTCTATGACAGTTTGATGATGGATTGGTACTAAAAAATTAAATATGAAATTAGTTTAGGAAGCCTTAGAAAATACATGTTTGAGTTGGGTAGTCTAGCTCCAAATAACGAAATTTCATGTTTGAATTGGTATAGCCTTGCTCATAATATTTTTGAAATTTAATAATGATCACTATGCAGAATCCAAACTAAGTTTACTGCCATAGTAAAAACTTTCACTTTTCATCCCTAAAGAGACTCTCAAATAGACTTTCTTTCTTCAATTACTGTATACCCTTTTTCTTCTTAAAGGCAGACAGTATTAAAATGATCCCTAGCACAGGTTCAAAAATGCTCTTGAATAACTTCAGTAAACAAACTGGTGAATGGCTTTAAAAAGGATGCATCCTAAATACACCGAAAATAATTCAGTTCTCAAAAGACTGAAAATAATTAAGTATTTAATGCTCAACTTTGATTTACTAGACTTTCATTATTTACTTTAAATCTGTTTTCAGGTAATATAAGTTATTGGTTACTATAGAGTTAAGAGAAACAATAAACCACATTGTTGAAATTTCCTTTAGGTATATTAGAAAATATTTCTCCAAATAACATTATCTATAAGATTACTGGAATACTTATGGTTGCCTCCTTTCACTGATTTTTTTTTTTTTTCCAAATGGAAAAAGATTAGGCACTGGTGAATATCCCAACCAATACAGGGGAAGTAGAACAACAGACTATAATTTTTCAGGAAACAAATTATTTTCTCCAACTAAGTTATCAAAAATTTAAAGTTCATGTTTAGGTTTTATTTGAGTTTTACACAATGTTTTCTCCTTTAAAAAACCTATTTAATTGGTTTGGACCAAACAGAAAATATTTTTAAATCTACGTTAAGGAAAGTTTATGCTAGCTTAATGAAAGTTATCAACACAACCTATATTACTTACAAATTACTAAATATGTAGAATTGGGAAAATAAGTTGAAAAGAACTAATTCACTGTAATTTAATTCCGAAGTCTCCAGAAAAAAATCAATCACATAAACTGATATCTAACACTTTGATTCAAACATATGCAGAAGAAGGCTCTCTTAAACGCTAAACATAAGTTGCTTCTGTTGATGAAAACTAAGCAAGAAGAACTCTTTTTTTCCATTATCTAAATTATGTTCATCACCTGACATACGTCTCAGTATTTTAATTAAATAGAAGTTGTAAAGACAATCACAGGAACGTATGAGGGCCTTTTAAACATTTATAATGAAGCCCTTACCCACCCTCCCCAAAACCAAACCCTCTGCTTTCTTAAGATGTTAAGTGTTCCTCCCCGCCACATTCTCTCCCTGGCATGTCCCCCACTTGCACACCCCTCACCCGCTGTAGGCCTGAGGCCCCGTAGCAAACAGTGTCTAACAGGAGCAGGCAGCACAAAGACAGGAATGGGAGATTAGTGGGAGGGAGGGAGGCCGGGATTGGGGCTCAGCAGGAGCTTCAGGCTTTTTAAAATTCAAACTGCTCCCTGACCAATACAAATCACGGACACGCTACTGACTACTACACGGATTTATAGCATTAAAAACATGCCTAGTACGTGACAGCTATATTAACTTCACTCTTTTTAAAATGTATCCGTACGTTTGCAGGAAATGTGAAACAATTTAATGTCAGCAGGATGCTAAACTCAAAAATAACCTCCACAAAAGTAACTCATTCTACAGTGATAATAATTTAATAAGACAAAATTTGAACCAATGTAACACCCACTAGTAAAACAAGGGACTTTGCTGAACAGTGTTGCTTCATTTTAACCAATGAAAGTTTTCCTTCAGCGAATGCGAAACAAAGTATCAAAATAGTCTAACGCAGGTACATTTTACATTTACTTTTCTATGCCATTTTTATGACTGAGGACATTTAAATTGGTGTTTTCCCCTCATACCAACCTACATTACCAACGCCTCCATAAACAAGCTCTAAACACTTAACTTACTCGTGAACTAGAACTTGTTAAGATAGAACTGATATTTTTCTCCAGCATTTACAGATACATTTGACCTATTAAAATGACACCTCTCTCATTACACAGTCAAACATCATGGCACAAACAGCCAATGACAATCCTGGGACCTCAAAAAGATCTGCCCTGACATGAAAGGATGGCACCTTCTACATTTTTTTTAACCTCCCAAGGATTTTAAGTATAACTTAATTTCTATCTTTTTAAAACAAATTGGTTTTACTGGTATTTCAGCACAATTCTCAGAACATTTAAAATTCTTTGTATGCTCATACACGTTTCGGTCAGGAAGTACCTGAGTGTTTTATGTACAGTCGTTACAAATTGCCCCTATATAACGCATACAAATACAAAGTGGCAAAGTAAACCTGTCAAGTAGTTTATACTTGTCTTTGAATAAAAAGTCCATGTGCAACACATACAGTGTCAGACAACAAGATAAAAGCTGGGGGGGGGGGTTGCAGTGTCTACCACAGTATGGTTTTCTATATTAAATATTCATATGGACGACTTAATTCTTCAAAAAAGAAAATGAGTCTTTATTAACTTTCCAACGTCCAAACAAGTTTTACAAAGAGAAAGAATTACCACTGGATCCGTGTCTGAGTATTTACATTTGTCTCACTAACTGAAACTACTTCCTCCCTTCATGGGGTCACAGGGGGAAGAAGGGGGGTTGTTTGTTTCACTGGGACGTTCCTCACTCCCGGACCGGGAAAGTTGTAAATATGGGGACGATCAGGGCACATTTGCTGTTAGTTGTATTGTTTCCGCCTCCTCACTAGCTACCGCTCCTCTCCCGGGCGAGGCCTGTCACCGACCAGCAGTCGCTCCGCTCAGCCTGGAGCTCTCCTAATCCCCGAGCTCAAGTAGATTCCGCTGGCCCGCGGCCTGCACTCTCCGCCGGGCCTACGCCTCCCCGGCCGCCCGGCAGGAGCCCAGTCCCCGCCACCGGAGCCAGCCGGGAAAGGGTACAAAACCGCCGCCACCCAGGGCGGCTGCCACCAGAGAGGAGCGAACTCTAGACTCGCCCGTAGAAGAGACCTGGGGCCGCTAAGGAAACGGCGGGGAGGGGAGTGAGGAAGAGAGACGCTGAGGACCTGGCGCCGCCGCCGCCGCCGCCGCCGAAATAAAGAGCAGGAATTTACCTGGGCGAATTGGCGTCTGAATCCAAGGGGAGGCCGAGGCCGCTGTGGCGAGAGACTATAATCCGGGCCGGGAGGGGGGGTGGCTACAGCTCCTCTTCCGTCTCCTCAGTGCGGGGAACATGTAGAGCCGGGGGGAGACCAGCCGAGAAGACAAATCGCTGCTTCTTCTTCCTCCTCCTCCTCCTTCTCCCACATAGAAACACTCACAAACACCCGACCAGGGGCCCGAGCTACCGGGGGTACATCGCCGCGGGCCCGGGAACCAATCCTCCTGTCGGCGGGGGCGTCCCTCCCTGCGGCTTGGTGGTGTCGGGTGAGTCGGTACCGACGGAGGGAGGGGGGGGAGGGCGGGGGGAAGGAGCCCTGTGTGTGTCTCTCTCTCGTTCCGTCTCTCCCTCTCAGAACAAAATGCCGACCGGAAGTGCAGCTGCAGGAATGACTCCCTCCGCCGGCGCCAAACACTAACAACCACCCCCTCTTCCCCACTCCACTTCCGCCACCGCCGCAGCCGCCGCCGCCGCCACTTGGGCTAGAGTCCTCGGCCGCGCCGCGCCTCGTCCGGGCCCGGCCGGGGCCAACAGCCAGGCGGCGGCGGTTCTCCTCTACGCCCTTCTTTCTCCTCCTCAGGGTGGCTGTGGATGTTGGCTGTATTGTCGATCCTGCAGAGCGGCGTTTGCGCTGCGGCACGGGCGGGCTGGTCCTCCTCGGTCTTTATTTTTCTGGAGGCCCACAGGAGCGGGGCCCGAGTTCGATGGTAGTCGTGGGGGCCGCTCAGGCCCGGATGGGCTCCCAGACCGTGGACGTCGGCGGCTGGAGACCGCGCTCGCTGTCCCGGCTCGGCATTAGCTTTAAGGAGCCGAGCTCCGGGCGGCCGCGTAGAGGACGCCCGCGATTCGACGGCGACGGTGCATTTTTTAAATGGTGTCCCTGCAGCTGGGTGGATGGATGTATCGTACGCTTTCTCTCCTTTTGAGAGGCCGGACTTTACGCCTGTCTGTGTGTTATTTCTGCGGAGTAAGAACGCAGCTCTTGGAGGTGAAGAAGGCTGCCAGCTGGATTGAATTGGAATCGTGTTTGTTATGCATTTCTTTCTGGAGATACGCGGTCTCTGCTGATCTTGCTTTTTGTTGGCGGTGGTTTTGGTTCTTCCCTAACAGTCGGATCAAGGCCTGTAGGCGACGCTGTGCGAGCGCGGAGCTGGCCGGCTGCAGCCCGGGCTCCCGGCCTCTCTAGGTGTGGGTGGAGCCGAGCGCGCGGGGAGAGCCGCCGGCCCGGCTCCAGCCCCTGGCGGACTGTGGGAGACTGCGGGCCTGGAGCTGGCAGATTTCATACATCGTTTTCCTCTTCATATTTGAAACACTGAGGCACTGGACAAAGCTGGAGTACAAAATGTGATTATACTTACAGTACCAAGCTTGTTGTAGTCTCTTATTGTAAAACAAGAAGTAACTTCATCGTTCCACAGTTCTCTATTAAATTTGTGTAAATTAAAGGTGGGCTATTCTTCAGGTAAAAAATGCAGTAGGTAAGCGGATTTTATTCACATGGGACGAAATTTGTGTTATATTTTAATGAGTTCAGTTAAGTTAACGTTAATTGTATTGTATATTTGAATACGTACCAGTGCCCTAAATTAAGTGGGGAAACTTGGCTAAAGGTTATTCCTTTTGCCTCAAAAATCACTCAGGTGACCGAGGTCTTGTCACTCTTTTGCGCTAGATCCTGCAATGTCTTCCCACCTCCAGGGGAGTAAAGGCCGAACCCTTGAACGTGGCCTAACGGCCCTGCGCGCGATGGGGGGTATGAGGAAGGACCTGCCCTGCCATCCTCTCAGATAGGACCGTGTCCTCGCTGTTCCTTATACCAGGCTCTTTCCCCACGCCTCCACAGGGCTCCTTCGCCGTCAGGGTTTTGGTTAAGTGTCACCTCGGTGCTTCCACGGCCACTTTTTAAATGGCAAGTTCCCTGGCCCCCTTCTCATTTTATCTTTCGGACAGTCTACATATCTTACTTGTTTATTTTACCTCTTTCCCCAGTGGAATGAATATAAGCTCCAGGAGGACAAGAGATTTTTTTTTCCACTGGTATTATGTCCAGCGCCTGGAATAATGCCACACAGTAGGTACTTAATATTTGGTTAATGAATGACGATTATAAGGGCTTTGACACGCCCCCGTTTCTGGACTCTAATATGTATTTATATATACTTAACATGCTACAGCGAACTTTATGAGAGATTGCAAAAACTGTGGAAAAAAAATGTCTAGGCGGAAAATGCAAGTTTGTTACAGAATTCTGGAAAAAGAGATTACTTCTACACATTCAAAAGCCTTCCACAACACCAGAAACCCACAAACTAGACATAATTATTTGTTTTTAGGTTTCCGTAAATGAGCCTGCTCTGGGACAGTGCATTAGTGCATCATATGATCTTATCCATATTGGGCCTCCTGAGTCTCACAAACTGCATTCTTCATCCTGTCTGCCCTCTTTCCTTGAAAATACATGCTATTTTCACTAAATTAAAGTCTATGAGCATTTGGTTGGCTTAGCCCAAATCCAGCACGACTGAAAAAGTTCATTAAGCAAGTATTTACTGGGCACAAAATGTGTACCAGGCACAGTTGATTCAAATGGTGTCTGTTTCTGAGGCTAGGAGACCTTATATAAAGGAGCACATATGGCTACTTTGGTTGTTACTCAATTATGCTGTCAAGCAAAGCAAATGCTAGTGAGATTTATTTTTAGTTTTCTTCTGAAAAGGTTCAGTGAAAGCTAAGGTCAGGCTTAGTGTGGATATTTCAATTTACCATATAGTTTGCTATTTATTTACATTTACTTTCCTTATGATAGCACTAGGTATACCAATAAATTGAACATGATTTTTGAAAACTATAAAACAAATGTGAGAAATTTTATTTCCTAGTGCCTGGAAAAGTAGGCCTTTTAAAGTAGATATACCAGTAAACTAGAAGCTGTGCAGTAAGGCTTTGGCTATATTATTACAGATTTTCGTATTTCGTGTATTGAATTTTTGGCCAAGAAAAGACAATCTTGATAGGTATTTTATAACCATTAATACAGTTAATTAAACATTATTTAGTAAATCCAAGTCTATCATTATAGGTTTTCCCATTAATCTTAAGAACAATTTTCAGTAATACAGATGGTTCAGAATGTGTTTTTCACTCAGTTTCAAAATAACCGATATTTCAATTTGCTTATGGAAGAACAATTATCTTCCTGTATACTTTCTTAATTAAATGTTACTGGTAAACTAGTAATTTTACATGTCCCCGTAACTACAACTGATACAGTCAGTCTGTGGTGGAAAGACTTGGCTTTATCGTAGCATTTAATTTAAAATTTTCATTTTAATATTTAGTTTCTTCCCTCACTTCAATATTTACTGAGGACTTACTAGGTGCAAATTAGCTTTATGCTAGGCACTTCATACGCAGTAATGAATGAAAGCAGACAAGGTCATTGCCTTTGAGGGCTTTAACTTGTACATAGTTTATACTAATTTTTTTCCAGATTATAGAATTAAAGAAATTGTTTCAATGCATATCAGAATATTTCTCCATTAAATCATTTAGTGTTTCGCTTGCCTAAATTTAAGTATCCAAGTTGAGATCTTATATAGAATCTGTTAATCTATATTAGTGTTTTCTTGATTTCATTGTCTTGCTTTTTTGTTTTTTGCATAATAATTATTTTCCCCAACACCATCGATTTGTTTTGCTCTTACATTTTAAAATCTTTTATGTCCAAAATCAGTTGATTTATGGTGTTCTTATGTTTCATTGTTGCATCCTTGACTTACCAATTTTAGTTTGGAGGATAGCCCAATAAATCTGACCTAATATTGCCTCCTTTCTTTAAGGACTGAGTTGCATGACTCAGTTTTATTTGCCAGGGATATCCCTGGATATTCCCATTATGTCTTTCTTGATCAATGAACTGCAGAAGATTTAATTTTAAATTTTAAATGGATTTTAAGTATTAACTACATTTAATGTCATCATCAGAAATTGGTACAACTGAAAAATTATGTATTATTTTTATTGAAGAATATTTATCTCTATGCCTATTTATGCCTGTCAGTTATCCTTTGTTAGTCATAAAATTGTCTCTTACAGGAATAAATTTTTTAAAGGTAGGAAAAAAGAAGTAAAAGACAGGTAATATATGTATGTTTTGTAGATTATTTTAGGCTCAACCAAAATTATTTCACATTTAGGATAATTAAATTACTTTTAGAATGACTTAAGAAACTTTGATGAAGAGTTAAAGATGTTGATTTTGAGAGCAGAGCTACACAATTATCAGATGACTTAACACTCTAAATATGTTTCTATTTCAAGTTTTCAAAGTAAATACCTTAATCAAATTTGTGATACTATTTATGAAGCTTATTCAATGTATTTTATCCATTTTTGTTAAGATTATAAAACTAAGTAATTCTTTTCCCATGAATGCCTCATCTTGGCCTATTCTGGTCTTTCAAGAACAAGCTTTGTCCTTTCATTAATCCTTATCACCTCTAATTATGAATTTTCTCTAAATTTGTAGATTTTATTATGCATACCATTCATTTATAATCCTATGACTTTACTATATTGTTTATGTTTTTATGTCTATGCCTTATGTTCCTATATCAAAGTGACCACTTACATGTTATACTACAAGTTTCACTGTGCAGCACATAGGTAAGGGCCCTCAAAAAATGCATTGCTGAAATAAGATTTCAATATAAAATTATTTAAGATCATAAATCTTCATGAAAGTCTAATCTTCTTGGAACCCACACATATTCTAGATTTGAACCAGAGAGTTAAACTATGCAAGTATTTTAATAGTGAACTAATCTAGAAAAACATTGGTTAAAAAATGATTTTATTTATGAAGGAAGAATACAAAATCTATTAAAAACTTAAAACATCTAAAATAGGTATGAAGGGAGGCTTATGATGCTCATTTTAACTGTTCTCTTGAGTAGGTTACCTTGTAGTCAAAGCATCTGCTCTAGACCAGTGTTTTAAACTGTAGGTCATGGTGCCATTATGGGTCATGAAATTAATTTATTGGGTTGTGACAAGCATTTTTTATTTAAAAGAATAGAAAATCTAAGAGTACATCACAGATAGTAAAGGTATGTGATTTTAAATAAACATTTGTTCATATGTGTGTGTATGATGTGCTGGGTTACCTTATAAAATTTATTACTATGGGTTACAGGCAAAAGTTTTTTTTTTTTTTTAAAAAGCTACCACTTCAGGTTTTCCTTTTCTTCCCCCTTAGAAAATGGGAAGAAAGGAATATTTGGAAATTCTGATTACCTACAAAATAATGAAGAACTTTAGAGGAAACACTAGGATTTTAGAGG